ATAAAATACATAAAAGAAAACATAATAGGCAAAATACTACACAACACTAGCCTCAGTGATGTATTTGGGGACTCAATTTCTAACAGCAAGAAAAACAAAAGCAAAAGAAAACAAATAGAACTATATAAAACTAAAAAGCTTCTGCACAAACACACTATCATTAAAATGAAAAGACAGCATACTGAATGGGAGAAAATATTTGCAAGTCATACACTGACAAAGGCCTAATATCCAAGATATACAAACAAATCATACAATTCAACAAAAAGAAAACAAAATACCCAATAAAAAAATGGGCAGGAGGGCCTCCCTGGTGGTGCAATGGGTTAGAACACAACCTATGAAGATTCCGCAGCCACTGCAGCACAAGTTCGATCCCCAGCCGGGGAGCTACCCACATGGCACAGCAGACCTCTCCCTGCCTCGCCTACTGCTCCCCTCAGCAGTGTATTTCAGTCGATCTGCCTGTTCTGTTCCCTGCTCTGTCTCTGGTGAATCCTCTCACCCCCCACACTTCCGGCCTGTACCCCCGTTCTTGCATGCATAAATAAATCTTTTAAAAAAAAATGGGTAGGCGGCCTAAATACACACTTCTCCAAAGAAGACATACAGATGATCAACAGGCACATGAGAAAATACTCATTATCATTTATCATCAGGAAACTGCAAATCAAAACCACAATGATGTAACATCTCACACCTGTGAGAATGGCCCATCTCAAAAAGTTCAGAAACAAGGCTAGGATGTGGAGAAAGAGGGACCCTTGTATATTAGTGGTGTGAATATACACTTAGGGATATTTTTCAAAATATTAAAAATAGATCTACAATATGATCCAGCAATTCCATTCCCAGGTGTCTACCCAAAGAATGTAAAAACACTAATTCAAGAGATATATGCACTTCTAAGTTCATTACAGCACATTTACAATAGCCAAGTTATGGAAGCCCAAGTTATCTAAATGCACAATGACAGATGAGTGGATTAAGATGTGGCATGTGTGAACATACATTTGAGTGCGCGCGCACGCACACACACACACACACACACACACATGGGTATTACTTAGCTATTAAAAAAATGAACTCTTTCCATTTTGCAACAGCATGGATGGAAGTGAAGGGGATTATGCTAAGTGAAATAAGCCAGAAGGAGAAAGACAAATACCAGATGGTTTAACTCATATACGGAATACATAGAAGCAAAACAGAGTCAGATCATACCAAACCAAAAACAAACCCTAAGAATCTGACTGTAAACTGAGGCTACTAAAGGGGAGGAGGAGAGGAGAGGAGAGAGGAAAGGGAAGAGAAGACACAAAGGACTATTATGGAGTACTATGCCTGCCTTTGGGGTAGGTGTGGTATGTGGACATGCATCTTAGGACATGTGATCCTTGCCTGAGTCACATACAAGGTTGTAAACCAATGTTAACTCAATTTTAAAAAAGAGAGATTAAAAATTCCTCAAAAAATTAAAATAGAATTAACATATGATCTAGCAATACCACTTCTGGATATAATACAAAAGAATTGAAAACAGTGTCAAAGATGTATTTATATAGTGACATTCATAGAAGCATTATTCATAATAGCTAAAAGGTGAAAGCAACCCAAAAATCCAGTGGTAAATGAAACTGGATAAACAAAATGGGGTTATACACTCAACAGAGTATTATTCAGTCTTAAAGGGAGGAAAATCTGTATGCTGTAACATGCAAGAACCTCGAGTTATTATACTAAGTAAAAGAAGCCAGCAACAAAAAGATAAATGCTGTATGATTCCTCTTGTATGAGATATCCAATGGAGTCAATCTCACAGAGACAGAAAATAGAAAGGTAGCTACATGGAGGGGGAAATAAGTAGGTATTGTTTTAGAAATGAATGAACAATGGAAGTTCTCAAATTTTAACAGACATAGCAGTTTGCTGGACAGCTTGTGAAAAACAGGATTGCTGAGCTGTGTCCCATCCCCAGAGCTTCTGAATCAGCAGACCTAAATATTTTATATATTTCCAGTAAGTTTCCAGGTGATACTGATGCTGTTGGCCTGGAGGCCACACCTTGAGAAACCTGAATTAGATCTCAATTTCTCTCTTTCTCTCTCATAAAAAAAATTAAAGGTATACTGGAAGAATACATATCAGCCCTTGAGAGTGGTTGTCCCTGGGAAAGAAGGAAAGAAAATGGAATTAAAGAGGACTTGAATTTTATGTGCAGTTAAAAAAAACATTATGCAAATATTATTATTCATTTAAAACCATATATAAATTTAAAAAGATGAGCAATATCTCAAAATGAATAGATGTATGGGTGATTGTTATGTTCACGGTATACTTCAGAGAGGTAAAAAAGATACTACAGTAAAAAGAAATAATGATCTGGAAAATGTTTACACCAACTGAAAATAAAGAAGTATTGCTCTTAATAGATTTTAAAAGTCCAGTAACGTATTAAAAACAACATAATAGAAAAGTAGGCAAAGGAAATAAACATTTTACACATACACACATTAAAAAAAAACAAACAGGCAAATGGCCAAGAAACACAGAAAATGACCCTGAACACTACTAATCATAAGGAGTAAAATGAGATAGTGTTGTTCACCCTCATCAGTTGGCAAAAAATAAAGACTTGAACACATATAGTCCTGGTAAGGATGAAGGAAAATAGACACTCTAATTCAACACTGGTGAAAAAATATGACATGCTATAAATATTGGTGAATATAAAAATAATCTAGACATTCATCCATTCACAGTAAAATGGTTGAGTAAATGAGGTTCATTAGTACAACAGAATTATTTGATACTTAAAAGAATGTGTCAGACCTCTATCACTATTTTATGAAATAATCTATCAATTATTTTAAGGCACAGACAAGATATATTCATAATAAATAAAGCAAAATTATTTGCTTTATTCATACTAAAATACATACTAAATAATTTCATACTAAAATACAAGAGCCACCACTCTATATATTTATGTGTAGTTTCATGTTAATGTTTGAGCAAGTAGATAGGAATGGAAGGATACCTATTAATCACTTAAATTGATTAGCTCATAAGGAAAGTGACTAGGAAAGAGAATACATAAAAAGTAAATATTTAATTCTAAAAGATGTAAACAGTTAAACTTTTTAACCTAGTGAAAGTACTAGACAAAAATATAAAGGCCTATTTTCAAAAGTATTGGGAAATGCCATACACAAATGTCATATATTATATGGTTCAATTTATATGAACCTTCCAGAACAGGTAAATCCATAGAGACAAAAAACAGATTACTAGCTTCTAGAGGCGAGAGTGAGATGTGACTGCTAATGGGTTTGAGGTTCTCTTTGGGGACATGAAAATGTTCTGGAAGTGGATAGTGGTAATTATTACACAACTTTGTGATTAAGCTAAGGCACTGCACTGTTACTTTAAAAGGGTGAATTTTATCATATATGAATTATATTGCAACAATATGACGCAATAGAATCTCGGTGAAGAGAGCTCTGAACCTGAAAAGGCTAGGGTACAAAAAGAACTAGAGTGAGCTGACTATATACAAACTTTAATATAATATCTAAATAGCAAAAACAAACTAACAAGATCCCATAAACAAGTTTGAAAGGAGAAACCAAGTAAAATGAGTACATACACATGACACCCTAAAAATTAATAAAACACAAACAATTCAATAGAAAAATCAGTAATTCATAGAGGAAATACAAGTGACCAATGAACATTTGGAAAGACGTTGTTTTGGTCATTAAAATATAAATTCACTTAATAGTAATGAGCTTATAGTAATTTTTCACCTATGTCTATTTTCCCGATAAAAACAAAAAATTTATTATTAATATTTTGAAGGGTTCCAAAACAATCTAACATGAAAAATGATGTCCTCAAAGTGGAAAGGGCATAGACCTAATAGGAGTCACATAATCACTGATTCTCAAGGATTGTCTACTTCATCTCTTTACCCATCAATGCTTACATTCCCTGTCAATATTTCTAATAAGTAATGAATCATACAGCTGATTTTGAACATATCTATCCACAGGCAAGTCATACAGGAGTCTATTTCATGTTTAGTCGGAGTATTTCTCCCGAAGTGAGAACAAAACATACTAGCAAAACAAACTATATAAGGAAATTGCAATAAAATAATAAAATTAATACCCAGCTCTAATTTTTAAGAAATTATTAAGAGTCCTTTAAAATTATCAATCATTGGGCCTCCCTGGTGGCGCAAGGGGTTAAGAACCGCATTATGAATCCACAGCCTCTGCAACACGAGTTCGATCCCCAGCCAGCCAGGGAGAAACCCACATGGCGCAGCAGACCTCTCCTGACTCGCCGCTGCTCCCCTCAGCACTGTATTTCAGTCAGTTTGCCTGTTCTGTTCCCCACTCTGTCTCTGGTGAGTCCTCTCACCCCCCACATCTCTGGCCTGTACCCCAGCTCTTGTATGCATGAATAAATCTTAAAAAAATAAATAAATAAAATAAATAAAATAAAATGATCAATCATTATAGTGCCAGTTTCCCTAGAGGTGGCCTATGGAATATCCTGTCTTCCTAATAGAATGCTATGAAAACAATTTTAAAATGAGTTACTATACAATTTCATTATCACCAACTGGGCACACAGACTTAAGTATATCAAAAAAATGATGAATTCTAAAAGGGTAAACCTTGATTATTAGAGAAACTATGTTGAACATTGAGAGAAGTATCATTTCATCTTCTGATAGAAGAATAAAACTAAGGGACTATTGTAAATCTTTAATTGATGAGTGGTATCATTTCTTTTTCCTCTAAAAATAATTTATGTACATGGATGTCTCTGGTAAGGTGAGCAAACAAAGACCTCTAAAATGATTGTAATTAGAAATGGTTCCCTGAAATATCATACTTACAGAATGCTAAGCCTAAAATGATATACACCTTGAGTAAAATACACTGCTTTGTAACTGGACATAACAGAAATAATTTTGCCCTCCTCACCTTATTCATGTTGTTTTCATCAACCACATCCTTGGATATATCTTGGATTATTTCTGGACACAAGATAAGGAGAATGATTTGCAGTGGCCAAACTGCTGCTTTACGTTTGGTGCTTTCCGCAAAACTATCCACCAAGTCAAACAGCTTTTCTGCACATTCTGTGTAAAAAATGTAAACATGCTCATATTCTTAGATGAGGAGCAAATCTCTGGCATTAAAGTTGGCACTATTAAAAAACTCAAAGGAGGGCCTCCCCGGTGGCGCAGTGGTTGAGCACTGGGCTGCAAAGCTGCCAGCAGCCTCTGCAGCGCCGGTTTGATCCCCGGGCGGACAGAGAGGGTCCCACATGGCGCGCAGACCTCTCCTGCCGCGCCTGCTGCACCCCTCAGCAGTGTGTTTCGCCAGTCTGCCTGTTTTGCTCCCTGCTCTGGTGAATTCTCTCACCCTCCTGCGCTTCTGTCTGTACCCAGTGCTTGTATAAATAAATAAATAAATCTTTAAAAAAAAATAAAACTCAAAGGAAAGATTTTTAAAAGACAAACTTGATGATCACCTAAACAAGGCAAATTCGTTCAGGAAAGCAGACAATGTTATACTGTCTGTGTGTCAGAAGAGTTATCTTGATTAAACCTAGAAAAGTCCTTATTTTAGAATGGCCAAACTTGAGTTTAGTTTCAAAGCACAGGTTTTATGCAAGGTGCGATAAACCCAAGGGAACAAAGACTAGACAGCTTCCCAAAGTATATTACCAAAGTCCTTCAAAAGTCTACTCTGTTTTACAGTTGTGTCTCAAGAATTCTACATAAGGTTATCACTACTTTATACTTTATACTTTATATCTCCCTAAGAGCATGACAAAAAAGTGTTTCTGTAATATCTCTGAATATCTAATCATTAGAACTTCATTTCAAAGTTCTTTATCTATATGCTCAAAGGAAAGGAAAAGGGTTGAGGGTAATTTAGAAATTTAAGAGAAAAACAGTATTTTCTATTTAATATCAGTTAACAAAATAAAAAGTTGACAAGTAAAAGCATCTTAATAACAAAACTAATTGGGAAATTGATTGTTTTTTACCTCGTAAGTAACAGTGTAAAGACAAAAAGAAAGATCAATCTCCTTACCAGCCATATCACTCTGTGGAATCTGGTATAGCTTTGTAAATTCATCTGGATAATTTTCTACCCAGTTCCAAAATGCCTACAAAACCCAAAACACATGTTTCATATAAAAGCAGTGATATTTTCTTAATATAGTAAAAAAAGTCATATGACGCAAATTATACCACAAACTTCGAATTTCCTTCTTAAGAATACTGAAATGCATTCTGCCTAATTATTAATCTGAAATTATCAATCAAATCATGACTTTTTTGGTTCAAAATGCTAAAGACAGCAACTTTGATAACAAAAAATTAACAAAATTTTAATAACAAAGAGGATATAACTTACTTTTTCCAGGCTATTTATAACTGCTAACTGTGCAACCTTCTTTAGGGCTTTAAATTTAAGTGAGGTTTCTGTTAAAAAAAAAAAAAAGTTCTAAAATCAATGAATATAATTCAAAACTACTAGAAAAAATAACTTTCCTTTAACTTACAAGATTTTTTTCCAGTACTATTATAAGCAATGTACAGTCAGTTAACATGAACCAAAAAACTCACTTAAGACAAAAACTAAACAAAAAGTAAATATGAAAACTCCTGAGTTTTTTCCATCTAGTTTTATTTCTTTTAATAACTGGCTTTTTTATAAAAGCATAGAATATGGTCGCTGTACAAAATTCAAAAAATATACAACAGCCTAAGGAAAATTTAAATCATTCATAATTCTGTCATACAGAGACAATCATAGTTAACAGTCTGGTGAATTTTCTTCTATCCCTTTTCCTATGGATGTATAAGACAAATATACATACCATATCTGAAACCATATATGGGTTTTTATCAAACCTGTTCTGTTCCCTTCACATAGCATCCCGTATTTTTCCATATCATTAAAAATTCTCCATATATTTGGTGACCCTACATATAATAGTAACTATTCAATAACACAGCAGATATTTCAATCTAACATTTAATTCTTTCAAAATTTTTCATGCTTTCAGATATTACAAATGATAAACTATGTTTCTAAGGTTACAGATTTAATAAATGATTGAATTAAACTTCAAGAAATTAGTCTTCCCAATATGCTTTCTCATAGAATATTTAAATTACTGACTTTATTAGCTATTTAAGCATTTCCCAATTGTTGTGCATTTAGAATGCTTCCAATATTTCACTACTATAAATAATAATAAATGTTCCTTGCTCCTGTCTTCCTATGTTCATCAACTTTACCTTTATGAAACTTAAATGTGTTATACATAGTAGTTTATTCTTAATTTCAATGTACTTATATTTATCACTCCAGTTCACAAGTTTCTGACTGGACAACTTACTGATAACTCAAATTCAATAGATCTAAAACTGAATTTATCATTTTCCTAGCCATCCTCTTTTCTGCTATCAACCCTTCCGTTTCTTTCCTATTTTAATCAACCTACTCAATAATACATGGGATACTTCTCTTTAAACTCATAGCTAAATAACCATATGAGATGTATTCTACTCAAATACTATTTTACTTCCTAAATTTCATATCAAATTAGTTCTCATTCTACCCTATTCTATCCTGTCCTCCACTACTCTCATTCTTCCTTACATTACTGAACAACTAGAAGTTTATATAACCTATCAAGCCTTCCTGGAAATTTCAAGCAAAGTGATATATTTAAAATAAAATATCAATCAAGGTACTTGCCACCTTAAAGCCTCCTACTGCCACTAAAATTAAGCCTCACAACCTATACGCTAACAGCATGACATTAAGTTCTAGAGATAGGTAAATGTGAATTGAATCTTTACCCTGCCACTCACTTACTTATTAGTAATACTCATTGATATTTGCTTTATATTAATACTTCCTCTACTTACCATAAAAATTCTCTCAGTTCCTTCTGATAATTTGTTTCAATCTACATAATCATGTAAAGCACTTCCCAAAGCTTTGAAATCACATACCATGCATTATAATATACCTTTGTGGGGCTACTATGAGAAAGCAAAATGAGATACTAAAAAGGTAAGACTCTGAAAGGCTAAAGAGTCAATCAGTAAGTCAGTAACAGAACTGGAAACAGAAATGTAGAAATGAGATTCCTGACTCAATTCCTCTTTCATCTTAAGATCACAATATTCTTGTTCCATTCAGCAATAGAACTTTGGTATCTTGCTAAACTATCTTCTCTTAGCACTTTAACAGCTAAATAGTTAACATCTATAACATATAACTATCCTAAAGATGAAAATCTACACAAATTTTAGTAACAGCATCCTTAGGTTCTCTTTATTAAAAACAAAAATTATAATTAAGCAAAACTTTCCAATGCCAAGATTTAAGATAATCATTTTCTCCATTTTATTGTTTTCAAAGGTTCAAAACTTACTGAGGGGCCTCCCCGGTGGCGCAGTGGGTTGAAAACCACGCTGTGAAGCAATCCGAAGCCTCTACAGTGCGGGTTTGATCCTGGCTGGCCATCTTAGCCGGCGAGAATCCCATATGGTGTGGCAGACTTGTCCTGTTGCACCCGCTGCTCCCCTCAGCCTTCTATTTCTGTCGTCTACCTGTTCTGTTCCCCACTCTGTCTCTGGTGAATCCTCGCACCCTCCCGCCCCTCTGGCCTGTATCCCAGCTCTTGTATAAAAATAAATAAATCTTAAAAAAAAAAAAAAAAAAGCTATTGAACCATAGTATTGTAACGATTTCTCTAAGATATTTGTATTTGCATTATAAATTCACTCTGATATTCTAGGTCAAACCAATCAAAACAGTGGTTTTTTAGCCCAGTGATTAATTTCAAACACAGCATACATTCAAACTTACCTTTCAGGAGTCGTTTTAATTTTGCACAATCCACATTGATATATTGTAACAATTCTATATCATGAACATCAACATTGTCTTCTGAACAAACAGTCAATTCCTGTAACCTGAAAAGTAAAAACCAAAAATAATCTATCAACTTAAATCTTAGGATATTCAAAATTCTGAATTCAACAAATTTCTTCTCATCCCACTGATGAGTTTATAAGAATAAATACACAAAGAAACAACCTAACCTCCCATCACAAAGAACTAGAAAAAGAACAACAAAAAAAAAAACAAACAAAAAATGCATCAAAAGGATAATACACCAGTAGAAGACAGGAAATAATAAAAATCAGAGCAAAAAATAAACAAAACAGAAATTTTAAAAAAATACAAAAGATTAATGAAGACAAAAGTTGGTTCTTTGAAAAAAATAAACAAAATAGACAAACCTCTACCCAGGGCTCAGGAAAAAAAAACGGGAGAAAGCATCAAATAATAGGATCATAAAGAAAAGAAGAGAAATTACAACAGACTCAGCAGAAATCCAAAGAATAATCAGAGAGTACTATGAACATTTATATGCACACAAGTTCAACAATCTAGAAGAAATGGACAAATTCCTAGAACAATATAATCATCCAAAGCTAGATAAAGAAGAAATAGAACACCTAAACAAACCAATTACAAGCAGTGAAATTGAAACAGTAATCAAAACACTCCCCAAAAACAAAAGTCCAGGACCTGACAGCTTCACAAATGAATTCTACCAAATGTTCAGAAATGAACTGGTGCTTATCCTACACAAACTCTTTCAAAAAATTGAGAAAGAAGAAACACTACCATGTTATAAAGCCAACATTCCACTCAAAATACATTTTATGAAGCCAACATTACACTAATACCAAAACCAAACAAAAACAACACAAAAAAGAAAGCTACAGGCCAATCTCCCTAATGAACACTGTTGCAAAAATCCTCAATAATATCCTTGCCAACAAAATCCAACAGAGCATCAAAAAGATAATACACCACGACCAAGTGGGATTTATTCCAGGGGCACAAGGATGGTTCAACATCCGAAAATCAATTAATGTAATCCAATACATAAACAAAAAGAAAAATAAACATTATATGATCATATCAATAGATGCTGAGAAAGCATTTGACAAAGTTCAACATCCATTTATGATGAAGGCCCTTGAAACTCTTGGGATAGAAGGAACACCCCTTAACAAAATAAAAGCCATATATGACAAACCCATACTCAATATTATTCTCAATGGTGAAAAGCTGAAAGCCTTTCTTTTAAGATCAGGAAGAAGATGAGGATGTCCACTCTCACCAGTGCATTTCAATATAATACTGGAAGTCCTAGCCAGAGCATTAAGACAAGAGAAAGACATACAAGGAATCCAAATAGGGAAGGAAGAAGTAAAACTATCACTATTTGCAGATGATATTATAATATACATAGAGAACCCCAAAAACTCCACAGAAAAACTAATACAACTAATCAATCAGTTTAGTAGAGTAGCAAGATACAAAATCAACACACAAAAATCAGTAGCCTTCCTATACACAATCAATCAATCTGAAGAAGAGAAATTAAGAAAGCCATCCCATTTACAATTGAAACAAAAAATTAATATCAAATACCTGGAAATAAACTTAATCAAGGAGGTGAGTGACCTATACAAAGAAAATTATAAAAGATTGTTAAAAGAAATAGAAGACACAAAGAAATGGAAAGACATCCCCTGCTCATGGATTGGAAGAATTAACATTATTAAAATGGCAATCCTACCAAAAGCAATTTACAGATTCAATGTAATTCCCATAAAAATCTCAATGACATTCTTAAAAGAAATAGAATAAACACTGATGAAATTCATATGGAGCTACAAAAAACTTCAAATAGCCAAAACTCTCCTCACTAAAATGAAGGAGAATGGTAGTATCACACTCCCAGGCTTCAAACTATACTACAAAGCCATAACAATTAAACAGTATGCTACTGGAACAAAAACAGACTCATAGACCAATGGCCCAAGAGAAAGCCCAGAAATAAAGCCACACATATATGGACAACTAATCTTTGATAAAGGAGCAAAGAATATGCAATGGAACATGGACAGTTTGTTCAATAAATGGTGCTGGGAAAACTGGACCACCACATGCAAAAGAATGAAACTAGACCACTACTTCACACCATGCACAAAAATCAACTCAAAATGGGTAAAAGAACTGAACATAAGACCTGAAACCAGGGCCTCCCTGGTGGCACAGGGGTTAAAGACAGCACTATCAAGTTATTGCCAGCCACTGCAACATGAGTTCGATCCCTGGCTGGCCAGGAAGCAATCCACATGGTGCAGCAGACCTCTCCTGCCTCACCCACTGCTCCCCTCAGCAGTGTATGTCAGTAGATCTGCCTCTTCTGCTCCTACTCTCTTTGGTGAATCCTCTCACTCCCTGCACCTCTGGCTTACACCCCAGTACTTGTATGCATAAACAATAAAATAAATCTTAAAAAAAAAGTAAAGAAAAAAAGACCCAAAACCATAAAATATATAGAAGAAAATATATGTATATACATACACATATATATATGTACTGTTTTATGTAGGGAAAACACTACATAACATACATCACAGTAAGATCTTTAAAGTCTCATCCCCCAAAGCAAAGTAAGTGAAGGAAAAGATAAACAACTTGGATTACATCAAACTAAAAAGTTTCTGTACAGCAAAAGAGACATTAACCAAAACAGACACCCTACCGATGGGGAGAAAAATTTTGCAGCACTTTTATAATAGGTAAGATTTGAAAACAATCCAAATGCCCAAAAATAGATGACTGGATCAAGAAGATGTGGTATATATACACAATGGAATAATATTCAGCAACCAAAAAAGATAAACTCATGCCATTCATAGCAACATGGATGGAGCTAGAAGAAATTACATTCAGTGAAAGAAGTCAGAAGGAAAAAGGAAAATATCACATGGTTTCACTCACAGGAAGAATAAAAGGGAAGCAAATGAGAGATCAGGGAAAAAAATAGTAACAATAAAAAACAAAACAAAATTAATAGGCAACTATAAATCATAGACATTCTTGGCGGTGGGGGGGGATCAAAACAAGGATGGGAAGAGCACAAAGGACTATGGTGATGATGCATGGATGAACTGGTGGAATTCTATGGGGACTATACCTGAGAAAAGAAAGCAAACATTGTATAAAAATGAACAATGATGTAAAATATATGTCAATAAATTATTTAAAAAAAATAATTCCAACAAAGATTAAAAAAATAAAAGGATAAGTATTTCTAATAGAACACAATTAATTTAGGGGATATCAAGAGAGAAACCATGATACCCAATAAAGTTCACTATGTGTTATGTATATAAAATTAAGTTGTCTATGTTAAGTATACATATTTTTATTTTTTAAAAAATAACAGCATGTTGATAACAGCTGAAACTGAGTAAAAAATGTGTGATATATATGAACTACTATGCTATTCTCTCTGCCATAAAGTTTATAAAATTCAATTTTCAAAGTATAAGTAAAATAATGTTAAAATTTTTAATTCCTATTCCTATGAACTAGACTTTGAAATGTAAATAGTACTTTATCTATATTCACAGGCTGCATTTACTTTGTATTGAAAAAAATGAGTAAGACTTTTCATTGCACCTTTCAATCTATACATGTGTCTGATTATCTGGTCAAAGTCCCTCTTGCACAGTAGTACTTAAGCTGTAAGAACAAGAATCTTTCATCAAGAAGATGTGGTATATGTACACAGTGGAATATTATTCATCAATCAAAACAGATAAACTCATGACATTCGCAGCAATGTGGATGGAGCTAGAAGGAATTATGCTCAGTGAAATAAGCCAGAAGGAAAAAGAAAAATATCGGATGGTTTCACTTATAACAGGAATATCAGGGAACCAAATAAGACATCAGTGTAAAAAAAAAAATACAATAACAGTACAAAACACAACAAAGCAAAAAGAGACAATTATAAACCAGAGACATACTGCAGGGGAGGAGGAGGGAGAGGGATCAGAGGGAGGGAGGGAGGAGCACATGGGACTGTGGTGATGACACATGGGTGCCTTGGGGAAAGAAATTCTATGGGGACTCAGTCTGAGGGAGTGGGGGGGAGGAAATATTGTTTAAAAAATGTAAAAATGATAAATGTTATGAAAAAAATTGAAAACAAAAAAGAATCTTTCTAAACCCCAAATGTCCCTTAAATGAAGTAAAAGTTACCACAAATGTAGAATAACTAAACACTTGAAAATGCAAATATCTTTAAACGGATAAATCACTTGTATCTAAATAAAAGAGGTTAAACTTTTCTTCCATTTTTCACTAACAACCAGAAGTCAGCTTTTCAAAAGTTGGTACTACTAATCCACTGAATTGTTTCCTAAAGAGACCTACTCATTATTTCAACTAATAGATATTAAAAATTGTAAGAAGTAAAATGTAAGTATTAATTTCATAAATGCAAAGAGAAATGTAGTGAAAAAGCACAAATACTACACGACCTTAGTCATAATGTTAACGTGAGTTGTATCATTATAGTTCATTTAAAAACTGATTTTAGGGCCTCCCCTGGTGGCGCAGTGGTTGAGTGCTGGGCTGCAAAGCTGCCCACAGCCTCTGCAGTGCCGGTTCGATCACTGGCCACTGGCAAGGGTCCCACATGGCACAGCAGACCTTTCCTGCCCTGCCTGCTGCTCCCCTCAGCAGTGTATTTCATCAGTCAGCCTGTTCTGTTTCCCACTCTGGCTCTGGTGAATTCTCTCACCCTCCTGCGCTTCTGACTGTACCCAGTGTTTATATAAAATACATAAATAAATATTTTAAAAAAATAAAAAATAAATAAAAATTATTTTAATGATCACATTAAACTTTCAATAGCTGGAAATGAAATCAATCTGACTGCTTCTCAAAATTCTCCTTTTACTCACTTTAACATACAAATGTATTACTAACATTAAAACTATTTTGAGCACTTTTACTAAAGCTCATCACAACATTAGAATGAGCAAAAGTTTAGTAGTTCACTGGGAAGATTTTATTTACATACTAAAAATAGCACAGCTACTACAAGGAAGCTAGAAATATGGGATATGACTCCTTAGGAAACACAACTTAATAAATCAGTGACACCAATGAAAAGTTGACTTGTGGTTGTTTGTGAAAGTGAAGAAAAGTTTAATTCCTCTTATAGTTCAGTTACTTCCATAGGGAAGAGGTACTATATGAAGCTTAAACATCATTTCTAAATCAGAGAAATCAAACGAGAGTTTGGGCAAAAGAAATGAAGTAGAAAATCTACCACTGAAATATCTGTAAAGACCAAGTAAACTAAGCAACAACAAAAAGATGTCTAAATGTATGGAAATAAACACCATCACACAGATCCAGAAATGAAGAACTTGAAAGCCAGAGTTAAAGGCATTATCTGATCTTGCAACAAAGGAAGGACAAGCATGGTTAAGGTTTATTCTCTTCTGAATTTGGGGGGGTACAGGAGGCTGACCACCCATATGGAACTGAATAGCAAGCCTTGTTCCCCAACAATACAGGGAGCAGAACCTAGGCCATGTAGAAAACACTAAATAGTGCTATGTACTCCCTAAAAAATAAAAGGGACAGACATAGACAGACAGAGACATAGCGAAAAGGAAGGAAGGAAGGACAGAGATACAGGAAAAGAGACAGACCTAGCAAAAAGGAGGGAGAGAGGAAAGGAAAAAAAAGGAGGAAAGGACAGGGGTGAAAAGAGATAGGGAGGAAGAACTGGAAAGGAAAAAAAAGTAAAGAAAATCTACCACACAAAGACATTTCCTCTACGTTTTGGGTGGGGTGGGGGAATCACTTAAGACTATTACTTCATAAGGGTTTGAATCCACATTTATATTACCCATGCAATCTGCGACAGAATTAACAAAAAACCAAAGTGTAGAGTTGGACACTAGGCAAGAGCAAACACAAAACTATCACTAGGACACTTTCACAGCTCAAGGCTGTAAGAGATTCCCAAAGACAAGAGACTGCATGCACTAAAGAAAAATTTGCAATCAAAGTTAATGAAACAGGAAACAATTCACTACAATTGAGTTGGCATATACAAACTTCTAAGAACATTTAAGTCTTAAAAAGAATATAAATAGATATGTTTTCAATGATGAGACATGAGAAATTTAAATCTATCTAAAAAAGAACAGAAGGGCCTCCCTGGTGGCACAGGGTTTAAAGTCTCAGCACTATCGGCTATCACCAGCCACTGTGGCATGAGTTGGATCACCAGCCAGGGAGCTAACTCACATGGCACAGACCTCTTGTGTCTCCCCTCAGCAGTGCGTTTCAGTAGATCCGCCTGTTCTGTTCCCCATTCTGTCTCTTGTGAATCCTCTCACCCCATTCCCCTGCACCTATGGTCTGCATCCCAGTTCTTGTATGCATAAATAAATAAAAATATATCTTTTAAAAAAAATAGGAAATCAGATTTTAAAAATGGAAACTTAAAAAGAATCAAAGAGAACTTTTAAAGCTATTCAGTCTTCTGCTTCAGGTAGCTGTCAAATTAGACATTTAACAGGGTCATCCCACTATAAAACAATTACATCTAATACAGTTGTGCAGTAATTCTGTATAGAGACAAGTTAATCCTCTCCATAAAAGAGCACTATGCACCATAGAACATGGTATATTACTTCAGCAGAATAATAAAGTTATCATAAGATCTGTAGCCCAAATTCCCTAAAGAAAAGCAAAGGATGAAAATATTAAAATCTGAATTTAATCCTAAAAGAGAAACATTTCGATACAAGGTAGAGTGGTTGAACATTAACAAATTTTCATGATATTGATTCATCTATTATAATATACATGAGACATAAAAATCAATCTTCAGAGGGAAATGACATTCTACTACTTAGCATATTTTAAGTCACCTAGTGCTATGACATCAATGTCATAAGACACCCCCATCTAAATTAAAACACCATAATGGTCTTTCAGGTCAGTGGTCCTCTAACAAACTCAGCTCCTATTTCTACTATAAGCTAAGTGAAACAGCAAATGTAGTTGTCTAAAAAATATATTTCATAAATCCTATATCTAGGCAGTCTGTCCCTTAAAAACTGAAGAAAATGGCTTATTCTGGAGACAACTTCTATTCCGGAAAATATGAACAAGATTCAAAAAATACACAAAACTTGTCTATTTTCACATGTGCTAGTGCAGTAAAAACCCCATAAAATAAAGACTTTGATGACTAAAAGATTTCTGGAGTTTTCAAAGGTGGCACATTAGCAGTATTTATAAAGCAACTCATGCTTGAAGACTGAAAAACATTTTATTCATTTGATCATTCTCTACCTCCAACTGAAGAGTCTTCAAATAGTAAGGCTGGTCTGGTAATTACCTAAGCAAAAAAGGGATTTTGTTTTGTCTTTTGTTCTCATAATTTTTTTTTTTTTTTGGTGGGACCCTCACTGGCGGCCGGGGCGGTACTGCAGAGGTTGCGGGCAGCCTCGCAGCCCAGTGCTCAACCGCTGGGCCAACAGGGGAGGCCCTGTTTTCATAATTTTTGAGCCTCCGATTTCCTGGTCAAAGTCCTTGTTACTTCAACCAGTTTATTATTACTCAGCACATGAAATGCTATCACTCAAAGAGTTAATGAAGACATTATTCTATCTTTTTTAAAAAGATTTATTAATTTATGCATATAAGAACCGGGGTACAGGCCAGAATAGTCTATCTTTTTAATAAACATTATCCAGTATCATCATTCATATTAAACCATTAAATAAAATTTTAATTTTCTTTACACTAGGAATTCTGATGAGAGGTTGAAGAAATTGTTGCCTGGCATCCTAATAGAAAAGTAAAAAAACCCTATAAAAAGATTACAGGATTTTGAAGTCAGCCAATTTCCCCAAAATACCATAGCATGAATTCTCACTGCATCATGTTCTTATTCACACCTGCTGGTAAACAACAGAAGCAGGAAAGACTCTGACTACTGGAAGTACACTGTTCACAAAACACAGAAAACAAGATACAGGCAACACTAAGCAAAGATAATTGTTTTTCTCCATTCTGTGTTAGTCTTTGATTTATTAGTCTTTGATTTAAATAACTAAATGATACTTCCTACTTGGTCATAATTAAAGAGCCGTTTTACTCTACTTGCATGAAAAAGGCAAGTTGTTTGCATGAAAACAAGCTCTAGACTTATAGTGAGAAGTCTATCCCATACAGCACCAACTATACCAATTTCTCCATTTGTAGTATATCACAACTGATGCCCATATGATTTTTAATCATCATTAAAAGTTTAAATTATATGTATTACATTATTTTAAAGCACAACAGTATATTCTGTTAAAAGTTATCTCATTAAAATACAGAAATACAGTACAGGAAAATAAAAGCAGCCTGGTATTATAAAACTAATATATTCTGAAGTAAGGCTGACATAGAAATTCTGAGTTCCTCCAGTATTTGGTATATCACCTTGATAATTTCTCTGGGTTTATCAGTTTACCTACCAGTAAAATAGGGAAAGTATCACACAAATTTCAGAGAAACAGGATAAACCAGCACAGCATAAGCTATAAATACTCAATGAAGAGGAGTGTTTACAGTTTACAAACTTAAAATACAGACCACTTTCTCAAGAATTATACTGTCCAGTTACTCACTTTCCACTGCTTCCACATTACTGGCTTTTTTTTTTTTTTTTATAATTGCACATCTTGTGATAAGGAGCAAGGTCATGAGATCATTAGAATTATGACTTACCAATTATGCTGCCTGGCTAACTACAGTTTAAGGAATAATGCACTATCAAGTCAGAAATTTATACCTAGTGTTTAAAAGCAAAACCTGGTCATGGATGATTTTTTTCTCCCTAAAATTTAGACGTTCAAGTTTACAACAGCAGTCAAAATTAATTGTACACATCAATATCACAATTTTACATAAAAAAAATTTCAAAGAAATTATGCATAAGATTTCTACAAATACTCAGAAAAATGGGGCCTCCCTGGTGGCGTAAGGGGTTAAGTGCCAGCACTATCAAGGTATGGACAGCCACCACAACATGAGTTAGATCCTCAGCCAGGGAGCTAACCCACATGGCAAAGCAGACCTCTCCTGTCTTGCCTACTGCTCCCCTCAGCAGTGTATTTCAGTAGATCTGCCTGTTCTGCTCCCCACCCTGTCTCTGGTGAATCCTCTCACCCCCCCTTCCCACCCCTGCACCTCTGGTCTACACCCCAGTTCTTACATGCATAACTAAAAATAAATCTTTTTTTAAAAAAACTCATTTCTATCAACCCTTTATTCTTAAGTAAATGAGAGACTAAAATTTATATTACTTACAACAGTCCTATGGTGGATTTACATACTAACCTCGTAGAAATGCGACTAAAAACTGCATTGAAGTTATTGCAGCTGAGAGAAAATAAAACCCCAGAAGCAGAATTCCGAAGTTCAGCTGCATGTTGGTTTCCTTCACGACAGGTGTGAAGAAAATGGCAGATTTCTGGCAGCAACTGTTTCACCAACATTGTTTCATCTAATCTCATTGTGTCCTTTGGTTGCTAAAATACAAAATAATCATGTCACTCCATGATGTTCTTAAATTTATAGGCAAAGATTTTCTACTATGAAGATTTCAAACCTATGTAAGATTTGAAATAAAATTATGAACATCCATATATTCATCACCTAGATTCAATAATTATAAATATTCTATCGTGTTCGGTATTTCTCTCGCTCTTAATCCCAATGAAAGTCCAACTCCAACATCCACCCTTCCTAGGCTCACCTACTCCTGCTTGTTCCCCTAGTCTTCAAATCCTACATGAGCCTTCTCATTCAGAGACTCCCCAGTTTATTGAGTTCTACACAAACTTTATTCATATTCATTGGTGAGTTCCTTATGTTATTCCTCTCAAGATCCAAGTAAATTCCTGGGTGGATGATCACTCCCACTTTTGGACACACTGACCAAAATAAACAGGCATTACAAATAATTTTGTTTTTGTTGAACAATTTCAAAGTAAGTTATAAATGTAACAATGTTCTACCCCTACATATTTCAGTATATTTAAAAAATGACATTTTCAAATACACCAAGGGAAAAAAAACAATTCCCTTGTAACAACTAATTTGTATTCATATTTCACCAACTACATCCAAAACGTCTTTCTTCGTTTTTCTTTCAATGGGATCCACAAAAGGTGTGCAGCATGGTTATTACTGTTACTTTATTTACTTTTTACTTTTTACATTTTAAATGGACCGGTTTATTAGGGAAAAAAAGAAGGAAAAAGAGAGGCACCTGCAGAGGAGAGCTGCCTTGTCATTCATTGTTCCTTTAGTCTCTATTCTAAACTATCCACCCCACACACACTCCACCTACATGATTTTTATTTTTTGTGACACCACCTTTTTTAATAGGCCAGATGCCTTACAAAATTTCCCACACTGCTGATTTGATTCCTAGTGGTGCAACTTAACTTGTTCTTATAGTTACTGTATTTTTTGTTAACTTATACCTAAGACCTATGGTCTGACTAGATTTAGGTTAAATACTAGATGATGTATTAGTTGATATTACATCATATCAATAGTATATAATGCGAGGTGATCTCACAGTTAGTGATACCAAGTTTGATAATTTTGGTGTTCACACTGAGACTTCTACTTTGTTAAATAAGCATGTATTTAACAATTAACCAAAGGATAAACTATTCTTCAGATATACTGCTGTTCTATATCAATATCTCACTTAATTCATACATGAAAAACAATTTGGTAATACCAAATATGACAACAAAGAACAAAATTTTACATAATCATGTGCTCTGCTGAATTCGATACAGAACTGTAATCCAAGAATTTCAGGTACAAATACACTGAAATATAGACAGTAAATAAACAGAAACCACAAAAACCTGCAAAATTTAAATTATAATGACTTTTTCTAACTTACAGGCTAACCAAATAATACAGATGTTGACATTAACTCTAACACACAAGTAAGAATAGAAATGCTCAATCTTTTGAATAATGGGCATACATACAAGAACAAAAATAAGATTCCTCAAATTCTACAAAATATCAAAACCATGATATTGGTAATTACTTGCGTACTTTCACTTAGCTATTTCACTAGCTATTTCAACTACTTCTTACACTACTTCAACTTATTTTCATCTAAAGATGAAAGTCAAGTGATAATCATAAAATCAATTGAGGAAAATTGCTCAAAAATAAAAATATTATTTTTAATTGTTAATTTAATGAAAAAACCAACTTTTTCAAGAGTAAAGTGAAGTCATATATATTTTATGTATTATACAAATTATACCATGCCCTCTAAGAGTTTTAATTAGGCTATTTCCAAAGATTATCAAATTAAAAAGGTGCCAATGTCAATGCTCATTCCCCAAAATATATTTACTATCAGCCTTGGCATGACATGTTAACGGAGAAAAGCTATGTACCCAAAGGAGCAATTAACTACCCTACCCCACTCAAACATAGGTGTGGCTGATAAACATGTATTTACAATCAAATAACTGATTTAAGAGAAGTTTAAAAATGGTCCTTCTTCACAGTTCTATGATCCTATTAAACCTTTTGCTCTTTCACATCATTTTATGAAGAGTAATAGCATATCACCAACTGAAAGCAACAAGCTAAAGCAGACCTATCCCATCCTCAATTTAAGTAGAAAACTTATAAAAAACTTGGCAATTTTGAGACATAGCCAAGATTCATTTATAAGCTTAAGACATTATATTTAGATTTTGTGACCTAAATACTTCTCTTCCCTAATGATACACAGTTGTGTGAAATTGTTTCCAACTCCCTATCTTACTGTTCCCCAAACATTCCCACCACTCCTTCTTCTCAACCCGTCCATTCCACCTAGGTCTACTATTGAGACCAATTCTAATATATGGGAAGAGAGAAGCAATTCTGAACAAAAGCAAAAGGTATGCCACTGCAAGAGAGAATGTAAAAAACAAGTTAACTCCAATACTTAGTTAAAAGATAGATCTATAAATGGAGGTATTCAAAATGAGTCGTAAGAGTATGGCTATGGAGTTAAGGTTGCTGGAGGCAGGAAAGGGTGTGGGTGAGAGCTTGGGGGTGAGAGATTAGGGGTGAGAGGGCCATGGCCTAAGATGGAGGGCTGTGACTGCTTTGATGGTAGGAGGAGTATGGTGGCTTGCATCTGAGGTGTGAGCCTGTTTTAAAAAAGGGAAGTCAAAACAAGAAATGATGGTAATAAATGTATATGTTTATATAAATTCCTGCCATGTTTTAAGAAGAATTAAGGCTGCTCAAGTATAGAAACATTTTGCTTTATACAACAGAAATATTCTTGAAACTATTCTAATTAAGTACACTGAGATAATTAAGTACACTGAGATAACGTGAGGAAATCCGAGAAAAATATTTTATACTTAACTACTCCACATATCTATACATTCATATTTACACATGGATGTAGGATCCATCAGTAATATAGTTCTAATATTGTTTAAGTTTTCTTTAAAATGATTTATTAGAAAAGTAAAACATTAAAATCAGATTCATAAGAGGAAACAAAATTACTGTTGGTCTTGCATATCACATTCCTTTTACAGCTACGCAATACCTAACAACATCTAGGGAAGTTAATTAAATCAAGTAATGACCTTTTCTCATGAAAACTTTTCTGAAAAACCAGAGAGGAGATGTGACTTAAGGTCAATACTTTTTAAGGAAACAATATTAAGCATGCAAAAGATGAGAAAATAATTTTTCTTTTGAAAACTTATCTCTGTTACCAGATTAGTTCTACTGACAAAATTTATATTCATATGTCTTAGAAGCAAAAATATACATGACTATCCTCCTTGTCAATACCTATATTTTGGTATATCAGATCCTTCTCAAACTTGTATTCACAAAACCTGCCTACGTAAGAGTAGGTTTACTTACCCCAGCAAGACATTTTTCCAGTGTATCCAATATAATCAACTGAGAGAGATATAAATTTTTTTCAGCAGCTTCTCCAAATATTCTCTGAGATAAAAGATATTCAGAAAACAAAAAGTTATTACTCTCCACTATGTATCAGTACACATCTGAAAAGTGAGAAGCTAAAGGAAAATCAATAGCCTTCCATTTTATCTTCCTTACTTAAATACATTTCTTACTCAAATCTATTATTTCTGATTTTATTCTAATGCTCACGCAAAATAAATTCTCAAGAAAACAAAATGCTGACATTTATTAGTCTGTCACTAGCATTGTAACAGTAAAAGAAGATACTCTGGTTTATACTTCAAAAGTATGTGCGTTTCAGATACACAGATAGGTCTTTACCAGAATCTTGAAATGACCAGTTAACCACACTTTGATGCCACAAAATAATAAGTCTTAATTCTTACAGCAACAAATGCTGTAACACTAGCATTTACTATCTTTTTTTTTTTTTTAAGATTTATTTATTTATTTACACAAGCACTGGGTACAGTCAGAAGCGTGGAAGGGTGAGAGAATTCACCAGAGCCAGAGCGGGAAAGCAGAGCAGGCAGAAGGACCGAAGTACACTGCTGAGGGGAGCAGCGGGCGGCAGGAGAGGTCTGCGCGCCATGTGGGACCCTCCTCCGGTGGCCGGGGAGCAGCCGGGGATCGAACCGGCGCTACAGAGGCTGCGGGCAGCCTCGAACCCAGCGCTCAACCACTGCGCCACCAGGGAGGCCCATAGCATTTACTATCTTTAAAGTGACTACTACGCTATTTTACCAACAGAAGATTATGGTTTCCACAATTCAATTCACCCAATAAGCTCTACATGGATGCCAATACCACAATACTAATTTTGTTTTTGTTTTGAAAAAAGATTCTAAATATTCTAAATATTAAAATATTTTCCATTTGAGAACATGGTCACATATTTATATAAGGAAAATCCTCTGACTATGCCCAACACACTGCAATGGAAAAGCACCATACAATCTTAAATGTATTTCTACAAATTGCTTTACTTTTTTAAACTGGTCCTATTTTGTTTTGTTTTTCAGGAAATCTTGATTTTCGTCTATAAAGAGAAAATTTCTTTGTAAGGCAAAATGACAGTCTGCATTTCCAGTTTATCAGTTTTATAAGTCCATGGTATTTCCTAATCCTTTTAAAAAGAACATACCAAAAATGATGTGACTATGAAAATGAAACTTGAGATTGACAATTTATTACACCAGAAGTCAGTTTCACAGCTCAAAACAAACAATACAAATTGAGGTTGTAAGTGCTAAAGACAAGCAGAAAAGTTCAGAGTTAATCAAGAAAATAAGCCAGAAAGAAAAAGAAAAATACCGGATGGTCTCACTCATAGCAGGAATCTAGAAATCTTAAATAAGGGGCCAGGAAAAAGAATAACTATAAGAAAGAAAATATCAAAATCAACAAACAACTATGAACCAGAGACAATCTATGGGGTGTGGGGGGAGGGGAAAGGAGGGATTGGGGTCAAAATAAGGGGGTTGTAATTGTATGGGGAATATAAAAATAAAATTTAAATTAAAAAAAATTAAAAAAAAAAAAATAAATAAAAACAGGTAGCCACTGTAAAATATCAAGATAATTGAAAAAAAAAAATAATTGTAATGATTAATTTTGATTTTATTACCTTTTAATATTTAAGTGATATTAAAGGCTATATCATTTAACTTCCAATAAAAAAAATTCAAAGAATTCAAAAATAAAAAAGAGGGCCTCCCCGGTGGCACAGCGGTTGATCGCTGGGTTGCGAAGCTGCCCGCAGCCTCTGCAGGGCCGGTTCGATCCCCGGCTGCTCCCCGGCCACCAGAGGAGGGTCCCACATGGCGCGCAGACCTCTCCTGCCGCCCGTTGCTCCCCTCAGCAGTGTACTTCGGTCCTTCTGCCTGCTCTGCTCCCCGCTCTGGCTCTGGTGAATTCTCTCACCCTCCCGCGCTTCTGACTGTACCCAGTGCATGTATAAACAAAAACAAACAAATAAATAAATAAATAAACAGGCCTCTATAAAAAAAAAATAATAATAATAAAATAAAAAAGAAAAGAAAAGAAATATCCAGATTAGTTGTTTGGAATTGAATATGAAGGACATTTTAGACAGGATTTGACAGAAAGGAAAGAATCACCTGAGAAAAGAGAAATTATATAGCTAAAAGCAAAGAGAGAGAACAGTTAAAATACCTTGAAGTTTCAGGAATATGAATGGATTTTATAAAACTAAGGAAAATAAAGCCATTACAAGCTTTTGTCAGTGGAAATTACTTAATGAAATTGTTATTTGAGGAAAATTATTTCAACAATGGGTTCTCTAAGTATTACAGAATTGAACACAGGTTACAGGAAGAAGGAAAAAACATTTATCTTTATAAAATCAATCCATTTATCAATCAATTTCTATTTATATCTGGAGTCCACAGGAAATTACTTTCCATACTTTAAAATGATGCTCCCAAGTTTTAAATCAAAGCCAAACCAGAGAAAATTCTCCCACAAAACAGTAAGCCAAATACTTACCATATTGTTAACATTCTTTAAGATAGTGGTGAGGCCGCTTATTACCAAAGAAAACTTGTATTTGGAAATATTAATAAGACATTCCTTGTTGTGTTCAGTACTGACTTTGGTATGTGTGTTCTGTTGTCCTGTTTTTATTGGAAGCTGAGGGGAAAAAAAGAACATATTTAGAGTTTACACTTGAAAATAAACAAAAAGAATTTTTATTTCTCACTCAAAATCATGAGACTGTAGAAAAATTTTATCAACCAAAGTTACCTAAATTTGTATCTCAGGTTCCAATTTTCAATATATAATAGCATTTATAACAAATCTAAAATCCTTGAAATTTTCAAATTTTGCAGTTTTCTTTCTGAAAGTCAGAAATTTTTCTTTTATCTTTTTTATCTACAAAATTAAATCATTTATCCAGCACTATATAAAAATTATTGTAGCTAAAAATTGTAGCTAAAAATTATTTTAGAGAATGTTTGCAAAAAATTTAAAAAGCACATGATTCTTTCCCCTTATACACTTACGTCATGTATTGGACCAAGAAAATCTATGCCCAGAGCTCTAGTCAAGAACGACAAATAACTGTAGGTTTTTCAGAAATGAGAAAAGGTCTATCTTGAAAAATCCTACAAAATATAAGATTTATTCAGGTAAGATAACTACCCACAGCCACAAAGTTGAAGGAATAACAGAACAACTAACAGATAAAGCTCAGAGGTGAAAAAAAAAAAATTCCTTAAGGGTCAACATTTACATTTATTTGAGAATGAGTTCAACTGCACTGCCACCTTACTCTCCACTCTGCTTAAGAGTAGCACTCAGCATTAAAAGCATCATCTATTTACTATTTAGAAGTTAGAGCTTGCTAATGCCAGTAGAGAACACTGGTGAGTTTCTTCTGTGAAACAACAAACCAACCTGAGTCTAACTTTCTAACTTTTAAAATGGTGCAACTAAAGGCAGAAAGAGAACAAGAGGCCCAAGTTTATTTAGTCAGGTAATAATAGGTGATGTACTTGATAGCAAAGAAATACTAAACAAACAAGGGGAAGCATTTTTAGGGCTTAGAAAAGGGGCAGAACAGAATTTACAGAATTACATAATGTTAGTAATAAAAATCAGAGCGAAAATTATTTGAAAGACCAAAAGAAGGGACTTCTAGAAGATGGCAGGGTTGCAAGGTAACTTATGAACATCCCCAAGTCTGTGAGAGTTTATTTTAGTGCAAACTTGACTGGATAACAGGGTCCACAGATATTTGTCTAAACATTATTTAAGGGTGTACAGGTACAACAGCAGCAAAGGAAAAAGGTCCAGATTAAAGTGTAAAAAGAAAAAGTCAAGAGTGCGCAAGAAAGGATGAGAATATATATTTTAATTTCATGAAAAGGACAGCAGAGTGAGTTCTAGAGCCATGAAGACAGAAGACTATCCTGGCCCATACTTCCCTCCTACCAATTCAGAAAAACCAATTTCACCCCCCTGCCCCAAAAAAGAGCAACAGAAAATACTGTGATAAAATCATGTACTTGTTATGAGAAAAAACAAAAAAGGTGAGACAGAATAACACTGCAACAGAAAATAAAAGCATACCAGAAAGACATGCTTGCTGAGGGAGAAGGAAATGTAAAGATCAGCTAATTTCCATATTGCTCATAGAAGAAAACCACTAGCCAATAAATCTCCCCTACCCCTAGAAAAAAAGGAAATTAGAATACTACATAAAGGCAACCAAGAGAACAAAAACCACAAATTGTAAGTTTCTGCTACATCAATAGTTGTCCGGTCACCACCAGACAGGTGAAAACACATAAAGAGATACTCATAGGTTCTTTCAGTGGCTAGACACACTTGGCTTCTCCGATTTTCTTGAAAGGTTGAACTTGTCTCCCCATTGCCATTGATTTAAGGTATCTGGTTAGTGACAGTGGCTCTGATCCTCCAACACACCCTTCCACATCTTCACCTTTGCCAGTCCTCTCAAAATTGTATACTCTGTTATTTCTCTAATAAAACCATTATCTCATTACACAATCTTCATCCCTGACTGAATCTAATACATAAACCTTTAGTATATGAAATATCTAAATATGTTAAGAGGAAATTACAGACCACACAACAAAAGATTCCTTAAATAAAACAACTTGTTTGTACAAACAGCAAACAGTATGACAGAAATGAGCCCAAATTCATTCAGCTGTGAAAATCTCCAGGATTTATCTTTAAATTTAAAAAATCAAGGTGTAATACATATACATAGGACATTGCCATTCATCTAAGAAGGGGGAGGAAAACATATATATATATATATATATATATATATCATCTATACTTAAAAAAACAAAGCAACAAAAGAAATGTAAAAACTTTTAAGCACTTCTTTGGAGTGAAAGGAAATAAAGTAGAGGGGTCAAGGATACCATCTATAGTCCCTGGGTTTTGTTAATTTCATCTTAGAATTGTGTAAATATGAAAAAATTAAAATTAGTCAAATCTAGAATTGAAAATTAAGCAACTAAACTGATATTTGTATCTTAATTTTTAATGGAATAATCACAAAGAGAGGAACTAATCTCAGATTTTAAATATTAAGTTGACTGTATATTCTTAGTGGAATATTTCCTAGGGACAAAACAATGAAGATAAATATATATTCTGGGATCAAGTGTTTTCCAGGTTCTGGGGTTCCTAGATGTTTCTGGGTTTTGCAGTTCCTTAGTTCTTGACTATTGCCATCCAAGAATTCAAAACCCCATCCAGCAGAAGCAAAAGCAAAGTTTATTGAGAGTCAGAATGAAAGTACAACTGGAGAGAGGGCCTGGGTGGTCAAGAGTATAGGGAAGAACAACTGTGCAGAAAGTTGGGGGTCTTTTGGTTTAAATGGGGCTATTTATTCCATTCTTTCCTGGAGTGCACTGCATAGGCACTTCCAGCTTCCAGAATGTTGGCTTATCATCCCCAGGAGCAGTTTGAGCCAGGTGTCTGCCTTCCCCCTTTGCTGCTTCTTGCTCTCCTCAGGCAATTTTTCAGCCCATCTGTTGGTCAGGGTAGGAGACTTTCTCCCCTCTAAATGTTTTTTGGTTCCTCCTGGCCTTTATGGGCTCTGGCAAGTATCTCTGAGGTCCTGGGTATAGCCAGCCATTTATTTTTCTTTTTTTATATATTTTTTTTATTTTTTACATCATTGTTCATTATTAAACAATATTTGCTTCCTCCCCCCACCCCAGTGTAGTCCCCATAGAGTTTCCTTCACCAATGTACCCGTGCACCATCACCACAGCCCCTGCGCTCCTCCCTCCTCCCTCTGATCCCTCTCCCTCCTCCTCCCCTGCATTTTGTCTGATTTATAATGGTCCGTTTTTGCTTTGTTGTGTTTTGTACTGTTATTGTATTTTTTTTACACTGATGTCTTATTTGGTTCCCCTATATTCCTGCTATAAGTGAAACCATCCAATATTTTTCTTTTTCCTTCTGGCTTATTTCACTGAGTATAATTCCTTCTAGTTCCATCCACATTGCTGCAAATTGCATGAGTTTATCTTTTTTGATTGCTGAATAATACTCCATTGTGTATATATATACCACATCTTCTTGATCCAGTCATCGATTTTTGGGCATTTGGGTTGTTTCCAGGTTTTACCTATTGTAAACAGTGCTGCAATAAACATAGGGGCACAGGTGCTCTTTTGAATCCACTACTAGGGATCTACCCAAAGGACATTTATTTTTCTTTTAGGCACTGCCGGGCTCTAGCCTATCTAAGCAAGGACATGAATAATTATGTGATATGTAAATGAGTCCTAAGGCAAGTTAGGGCTAATTAGGCAGCTTCAGGGACAGAGCAGGCAGAACTTTGGGAGAATTAAAAAAGCTTCCGTGATAAGGACAGAGACATTCAGGTGGGCTAATGAGGACATTAAATTTAAGGCTAATGCAAATAAATTTTAAGAGACCTTGGACAGGGGCAGTGAAAGAAAGATAAGAGCTGCAAAGCTGGACACAGCTGCCCAGGGAAGTACAGCCACTGAGAAAGAGCCAATCATAAAGATGACAATGAGGTTTTAGAATAGAGAAATAAAGATTTAAATATCCCCTAAACACAGGTCCATTCAGCTTCTTTGCCCCTCCCAGGTACAGCACACCTGGGAGTCCTTGCTTTTGTTCTTTTACTCTAAATAAACTTTACTTTGTTGAACAGTTTGTTTCTCTCTGCGAATTCCTTTTTAAGGCTTTATAGAACAAGAACTTCTGTGGTGGTTCAAGATATAAATTCCCAGTAAAAGGAAGTAGGATTCCTTCAGGAAATGGCAGTACCATAGCTGAAGCAAAAACCTGTAACACCTTGTCATATCAGATAGCAAGAAAACTTAGCAAAGAGCTGAATCAAAATGATTTCAGAAGTGAATTCTGAGTAAGTTTCCACTGACCAAAAATTAAAATATTTTAACATTCGTTGGAAAAATTTTTTAAATTTATTTTAAATAAACTGTTTAAAAATGTTTTAAATAAAATGTTTAAACATCAAATGTTTAAATCCATACTTCTACTTCCATGCAAGACAGTAATTCATCACAAAACAACAAACTCCTTCCCCCAAACTTACACATGTACAAAAAGATAAAGTAAAAAAAAAAAAAAATCTGTTTAAAGATTTTAGGAAGTTACTGAAAGAAAGAGAAGTAGAGAGAACAAGATCCTAAAAAGGGGTGAAATGCTGATAGGTAAGGTGATCTTCTGCAGCTGTTTCACCCCCTCACCCAGGGAATTTAAGAAATCTGGATCAAAACTAAAACTGAAAAACAAGGCTTTTCCCAAGCAAAATACTTCTGTTGAGAGAAAAAGAAATCACTGGAGATTTTGGTTGTAACTGAGAACAAAAGTGACAAAACCATAGACTTCAATGGGTCTCAAATACATAATTGGGTGGAAAAGGGTGAGAAGTCAAGCCAGTAATTTCTGGAAAGCAGAAAATAATTTTAGTCCCACAGTTTCAAAAGGACCAAAGATTAACATCCACCACCTTACTGGCGGGATCATCATAAATACATAAAGATATTCAGTTCTCAATTATAAGGCCTAGAGAGTTACAGCCTATATAAACAGGGAAACCACAGCAACTGAAACACTTATACACTACCAGTGTATTAATT